AATAACGCTAATAAAAGAACCCATAAACAATTGAGAAAACCGTCAGACGGGAAGCAATTATGAGTTTGGACAATGTGAGGGAGATCGTTAAATAAACAAAAACGTTCAAAGTAATCGGACGAATATAATGTAAATGCAAAAGTGAATTGATACACCAGATCGTCAGAGAGAAGTTTTTATCTCCAAAGTATTTTCATTTCGCTGCGCAGATAACACAAACCATGTGTACCAGTGGCTTAGCTTGCTCTACATGTCCTTCCTGTGATCACTGATTGGATAAAACCTAGAATACTAACTTAACTTGAAGTCCTCTACAGCTCAACCCTCTCAAAAAGTCATTGCTAACATTCTTCGTGTTCATGACTAAAAGCTGACATTTCATCCAAGTAGAACTCAATGGATTATGACTGTGTTAATATAACCTCACTCTTGTCCAGTCTACTCAATGTTCTCCGCTTCTAAATCATTTTCAAGACTGTTTTTGGAGGGTAAATCAGAAGGAATGTTATTTGTCCAAACAACACTGACGACTGGTGACTGATTCCTACGAAGAAATACTCCGAGCAGCCAGGAAATATTTAACTCTCCCCCCTCCTTCTCTCTTGCTCTTTCTGCCTGTCATTCTGCTTCTGCTGACTACAGGGGAAAACCTCCACAATGTATAAGTCTCTGTAAAGAGGGGAGGGGGACGAATAAGGAAATGAATACACGATGGAAAGTCTTGTCTAGGTATAATTCGAGAGCGAGCGAAACGGATTAGAAAATGTGTCAGAGATGTGACAGAAGGGAAAAAGAGGGGGGGGGTACCTTAATCCAAGAATCAACATTTCAACACGAGTGAAAGCTGAGTAAGTGACTTGCCATCAAAAGTTGTTTGTCATTGAATAATGCACGTGTCAAATGATGATGGGCACTCAATGAAAGTGTGTTATATAGAATAAACATTGACTTTAGTTCAAGTGATGAAAACGTTCATTTAAATATCACAGCCCTCTGCCATCTGTTCATACACGCTGTCAGACTCGATTTCCCACACCGTGCTTGCACTCGTTCAAAGAAATGTCTCTAAAGTCGAACAACTTAATGATCATTCCACGAAAGTCCTTGTTGATCTGTTTCTGTATATCTGAAACGATGTGTCTGTTGCTCTGTCTGTGCAGGTGTTTGCCAAAGTGTTCAGCCACGAGGCCTTGGAGTCCTACCTCCCCAAAATCCAGCAGGTCATCCAGGACAGTCTTCGAGTGTGGAGCTCCAACCCCGAGCCCATCAACGTCTACAGGTACAACGACCGTCCAGAGTAGAAACGCATTCATAAGGGATAGACATGTGGTTGCGGTTGCACTTAAACATAGGGTAGGATCATTGCTACACTGTTGTGAACAAAGCGAAACATCATGAGCGTCAGGGATGGGGTGCAAGAGTGAATACAAGTCAGGGTCTACCCATAGATACCATTGAGGTCCTAATGTGTTGTTCTACCTCCAGGGAGAGCCAGAGATTGTCGTTCACGATGGCGGTGAGGGTGCTGCTGGGATTCAGGGTGTCGGAGGAGGAGATGAGGCATCTGTTCTCCACCTTCCAGGACTTTGTTGACAACCTCTTCAGCCTGCCTATAGACCTGCCCTTCAGCGGGTACAGGAAGGTATGTGTTGACAACCTCCTGTCTGGAACAAAAGCACAGTAGTTGATGTGGTTTGGGTTCATACAAAGCATGGGTACACTGGTTTAAATCAATCTACGTTTGTAGAAAGGTTGGTAGCTAATGATTACATACGTGACTATTATTTTATTTATTCATTTATTTAACAGGGACAGTGCACATTAATCAACATTTATGTGAATGTGCCAAGAGGTTATTTTTCATTTGACAGATTTTGTTAGTCAACCTACAGACAAATGTCATTTTACACAAGTAAATACAATCAGATAAAAAAACATGCAACACACACGTTCCATGCTCTCTTGAGAAATCTGATGTACAGATGTATCTGTCGATTGAATGTTTCTCGTAATTGTGTCATTATGCTGCCGTCAAATCCGTGTACGTAAATCCGTGTACGATACCTCTTTGGAACTGCCTTGTTTTGGGATCAAAAATCAAACTAGTAAAAAGTTTGGGAGCTAATGATTCCACTTCTTTCCAGGAAGGTATCTAATGACAAACTCATGTCTGGACCATAAGCTAGTTTACGTGTTTTGGGTACATACAAAGCATGAGATGTGTTTAAATGAATCTATGTCTGTATAAAGGTTGGTAGCTAATGATAACATGTCTTTCCTCACAGGGTATCCGAGCACGAGACGCCCTGCAGAAAAGCATAGAAAAGGCCATCAGAGAGAAGCCGTTGTGTTCCCAGGGGAAGGATTACAGCGACGCACTCGACGTCCTGATGGGGAGCGCCAAGGAAAACGGCACAGAGCTCACCATGCAGGAACTGAAGGTAACGCATAGAAATCACCTGAGCGCGCGCGGGGGGGTGTGGGGGGGGGGACATGTGCTGGAGAGAAGCCAGACGCACAAGAAGCCACTCCATCACACAGCGTTAACACGTACGGCGCAGATCCACGCTCTGATGCTGTGTGTTCAAACAAACACACACATAGACCACACTCACTGTTTACCTAGCAAAGTGCTGCCAAAGGGAATCCGTCTTGGCTGACGGAACACACACACACACACACACACACACACACACACACACACACACACACACACACACACGATTAGCATAATCTCTCCTACAAACCATCTTGGCATCATAACCAATTAAAGTGAGTTATGATATACAGCTATATGTAAAATATGACTGCAGGGATGCTAAGTTGATGCCTGTAGGCAGACGGTAACAGAATCAGAATCACACACACACACACACACACACACACACACACACACACACACACACACACACACACGTTCGTAGACAGGCACACCCTCTATTTACCTATTAAAGTAATTCTGAGGAATTCGGTGGAAACTCAACTCTCGCTGCCTCTATTTCGCTCACTGTGGTTTCTGGGTTAAGTCCAGGGCCAAAAATAAGTCAACACTCCCCCTGCTAGGGGTCTGAAAGAGGCCTCCTGTACGCACACACTCACACACACATACAGTATATAAATACACACACAAAGTGAACTGGGGAGCCCCTGTCGCAGGGGCCCATGCTGAAGCACTCTCCTGCAGTTTTCTGACGCACGCATTTACAACACACTCAAGTAGGGGGAGGCGAAGATGTGTTTTGACACTGATGATGGCATATCAGGGGTTCATAATGATGTTATTTTGGTGGTGTTATTTATTCCACTACCTTCATAGTGCACCAATTGTTGTTATTGGACTGGAACTCCATATTTCCAAGTACGCTACTTTTTAGGAATGAAAAACAAGATACTTTTATTGTGTATCGGTAATTATGAAACAAATGGCAGGCAGGAGGTGTGGGGTAATGGTTTTGCGCCAAAGGTAAAGTGAGGTCTAAGGTTGAGTTTGCTTCACAATATTTCATACGTTCAAAAGAAATCAAAACGCCGCTGACAACATGCTGGGTGTGAAAAACTGTTAATGTTGCGTAAAAAGTAATCGTGGCTATGGCTGATATTCACCCTCAAACTTTAGCGTACAATATAACCTTTTACTAAATATGGCCACTGTCTGGACCCTTTACTCAAGTGCCCATCAGAAGCAAAGCCAGAATACAGTTTGAGTCAACTCAAATGCTCTCTTGCAGTTATGTTTTCAGTGAACATGTGGGCTCATGCCAAATGACACTTTACTTTCCATATATTTGACTGGCTTTACCCAAAAGAGTGGTGAATAGTTATAGGAACCGATATGTGTTCAGAGGCTGTATCAAGAACGCTTCAGTGGTTGCACGATCATAAACAAAGCAGACATGTTCTCAAAACAGTGCACTAACAAACCTTCTTTCTCCTCCATCTCTTCCCACAGGAGTCCACTATCGAGCTGATCTTTGCCGCCTTTGCCACCACGGCCAGTGCGAGCACCTCACTAATCATGCAGCTCCTCAAACACCCTACCGTCCTGGAGCGCCTGAGGGAGGAGCTGAGGGTCCGGGGGCTTCTCCACAATGGCTGCCTTGTGCCCGGAGAGCTGGGGCTGGACACCATCGTGAGCCTCAAGTACCTGGACTGTGTCATCAAGGAGGTGCTGAGACTCTATACCCCCGTCTCAGGGGCCTACCGGACCGCCATGCAGACCTTCGAACTCGACGTGAGTAGTCTATTAATACTTCTTAAATGTAGCCACTTAATCTGACGTTCATACAAAAAATAAAGAAGACCTTTGGAAGTCTGAGGAAACTACCCCTAAACACAAAGATTTAAGTTCATATTTATCGAGGACATTCATATATGTGAAGCCGACAATTGAGCAGCCAGACCAAGCAAGGAGGCAGAACTTCCAAAAATACAACCCGGTGTGGGCATTTATTAAATTCAGGCACAGGCACCTCAATCTGGCTGTTCCCGTGAGCACAGTCACCAGCCAATAGGATCTCACACACACTGATTGAGGTGCCTGTGCCTGAATTTAATAAATGCCCACACCGGGTTGTATNGTGTGTGTGTGTTTTTTCTCTTTCTCTCCCTTTTCACTTTAGTTTTTCTTTACATGCCAATCATGTCACGCAGCAGTGTCTTCCACTTCTGAACACCCCTTCAGTGTGTGACAGGTGTCAAAATGGATGCTTTTTGTGTTGCCAATTTCACATTCAAAGTTCAGAGAGTTGTTGTCGTTGGCTGTGTTTCCGTGGCCTTCGGCAACATCCCTCAAACTTCAATATCTGCATCACAAGAGAGTCATTGATGTTTTGCTGCTTCAAAAACCCTCTGTATTTATCTCTCAGGGCTTCCTATAATCCGTGTAATTGCTGACTTTGCAGTTTTGTTTACTTTGTGGATATTTTCCGTATTTATGGACTTTTTGTGCAGCTTATGTAACAATGGATCCAGTATCTTCTCCAAACACTCTCACATTGCATCATATCAAGCTTAACAACATGTTTAAACCTCAGTGTTTTTGGCTTTGGACTAAGACTTATTTATTTTAAGATGTTGTTCTATTCGATATGCATTACCCAGCTTGCTTACCGCAGACTTAATCTGAAAATCGGAGATATTAAGCACTTTTCGACTGAGTTTCCCTCTGTGTAAACCTGGCTGTACGCAGACTGTGAAGTGAAGGATGGACACATGAATGGATGAAGAAGGGTGCAGCCCTGTCAGAAGGGAATTCCCTAGGATAAATTATGACATGAATCAACTCGAAAGTTCGTGACGGGAGAAATCCTGGAACTGCTTGGTGTTTTGATCGGAAGAGGAAGGCAAATATCCAAAAACCTTTCACTTTGCCTTTCGATATCGTTTGCGAAAGCAGCGTCTTAAAATAAGTATTTGAAAATAGCTCTACAAACACTGGGGTTCATGATTTGTCATCGAGACGCTGCAGCTGTTGGTAAAGATCGTTTTTTTAAACCCATCGGAGAGCTGATGACACGTGATTGACAGGCCGTTAATGCAGGAAAACCCCACGATACTGCAATAAGGAAAATCACAGACCGAAACTCATGGCAATTTACCAAGAGACGTTCATTCCTGGAAATACTGACACTTGTTCACGGACACTAGACAATAACAGGAACAAATGGTGAATATACACGGATGATTTCACAGGACATTAATCCCACACATTTAACCGATAGCAGGAAACACTGTCCCGAGTTACTCAAAGTTCCCCCTCTCTGATTCTGATATTCAAAGACGGTCATTGACCTTTTTTGATCTACGGACTCTCGTTAAATTGATATTTCCTGCTACAGTTGACTGGGTGTCAACGGGTTTCTACTGCAGACACACCTTTCGAGTGAAAACACTCCCGAGATTCTCTTTTGGGAAAAATGAAACTGAAAGACATCAAAAATCATATTTTTCTCAACATGTTTTTCTTGAACTTAAACCAGCAGTTTCCCCCTGGGCCTCACAAACACACACACACACACACACACACACACACACACACACACACACAATTGAAACTCCTGACACCTTCTTGAACTGCCATGAAATTCCTTGCAAATATAAATCAAGACAACACACAACTTCCCAGTAATATTTATTTACACTACTTGTTCTCAAACTCAAACTAATCATCTCTTTACACAAAGGGATCTCATCATCATTATCAGTAACTTTCCAAAACATGATGTCCTCAACAAACCAGTTGCATAAGTAATAAAAAAAACCTTGCACTTATTGAATCAATGGGGACATTGGGGTAAAGAATGGACCCAAATGCAGCTGTAAAAACATTTAGTTTGGTCGGATTATACTTCTATTTTACTTTCAATTTCTTATACTGTATTTCAAATAGATTGTGCTCCGAGATATAGGATTTATATATGATGAGAGTCCTTCATGATTTTTTTGTATTCAGTGTCTCTTCTCTGGTTTTCACCACATCATCCAGTCCTGAGATGGATCGTCACACTTCTTCTCCCAGAGCGGTGTGGTTATATTGACTCAGTCTGCGTGCTGATTGGTTATCATTTCTCATGGTCCCTTATACCTGCAGCTGAGGGTTCACACGTGTGCTCCTGAATCCAGTCTGGTGGATAATGACGGAGGTTTAATCCTTCAGTAGAGATGAGAGTCACATCTGAGACAACTTCTTTTTGTGAGTTTTCGGATTGATTTTACTCCAAAAACGTAGCACAGATTTCTAATAACTCAATATTAAAACTGTCTCGTCATCAAGAGCATTTTAGCGTCTCTTTGAATGGGTGAATGCTGACTGTCAAAAGCACTTTTGAGGGGTCGTAAAGACGGGGAAATCGCTATATACTGCAATATACTGACCATTTATCATTTGTATGTTTAGAGACAAGTTCATTTCTATCTCGTCGGCAACGATCAAGTTGGTAGTGAGACGGTGTTGGTATAAACTGATATGAGAACCCAGAATATGTATACTGAAAGAGTTCAAACTAGCCAACTATCAAATGTCCACACACACACACACACACACACACACACACACACACACACACACACCCACAACACACACACACACACACACACACATTCTCCTGGTTCCCTTGAAGTGGTTCATCTTGCAGTACTTAGTGTTGCAAACAGTCTATACTGGCGGCAAAACTATAAACAAACAGAATTGAACTCCTTGTCCTTCCGTGTGTGTGTGTGTGTGTGTGTGTGTGTGTGTGTGTGTGTGTGTGTGTGTGTGTGTGTGTGTGTGTGTGTGTGTGTGTGTGTGTGTGTGTGTGTGTGTGTGTGTGTGTGTGTGTGTGTGTGTGTGTGTGTGTGTGTGTGTGTGTGTGTGTGTGTGTGTGTGTGTGTGTGGGTGGGTGGGTGTGTGTGTGTGTGTGTGTGTGTGTGTGTGTGTGTGTGTGTGTGTGTGTGTGTGTGTGTGTGTGTGCCCTCAAACCATGCCTTTGAAGTGTGTGTAGTTTTTTTTTTACATCTGTGCTCATTGTAAAAGCTTTCTCTCTTTCCCTGTCTCTGTTTCTGTCTTCCATCAAGCTGAAGGAAAACTCCCGGCGAACATCACACAGCCGGTTTCTTCTTGATGTTTTCAAACCACAGCGATCTGCTGGCTGGGAAATAAAAACAGATACAGAGGCATTGAGACATCAGTCAGTCAGTGCTGAGAGTCTAAACCAGATCATCATCTGTGTGTTGCCCACATGACGGGAACCGGACCTATTGTTAGACTCAATCTGAAGAGCACAATAACAAAATGGTTTCAACAAAACAAACAGGAACAATCTGAGTCGATGTATTGAAGTCTTCTTTGATCCTCTGTTTGTCTATCATGTAGTCGGAAGTGATGTTTTACTAAGTCCCTTATGAAAATGATTCTTAGTATTCTTGGCAAAAGGTTCAAAGGTTATCAGGGAAGAAATACGCAACCCGTTTTGCTGCAATTGTCCATCTTTTGAATATGTTCTTTGCATTTTATTGCCTACTCTTGATGTACCAGTCATTGCTGGATTATAATTCAATGACGTCCTCATATCATTTAAGTTAACCAGTCGTTTATTAACCGGAGATCTTGAATAGTGTGCCGGATCTTTCCACGTTATCTTTGGGAATGGTGGCTTTGCTGATGCACCTGTTGTCAGATGAGCAGAATGGACGTACTTTTGTAAATAGATTTAGTTCTGAAATAATACTACTAGGATTATTGTAAGGTATCAAATCAGTCTTTGCTAAGCGTTGATGTTCGTCTCTACACATAAGCTTTGGGAGGTTTGGTCTAGGGCTGCACGATTTGGGGAAATAATCTAATTGCGATTTTTCTGACCGATATTGCGATTTGATTTGCGATATTTGTATTTAAGCGACCCAACGTAAGTTTATTG